TCAATATAGTTTAAATTTCCATAAAAACATTATGAATTAATAAATAATTTCACACTATTGACTGAGATGCCAGTTTACCAAGATCATTTTGAATTCCTAAATGTTTGAGAGAATTCCTAAATGCTGGCCAGAGTCGAGATTTGTTAGATCTGCCCTTACCCCTGTAGGCAAGGTTTGCTGCCCACCACGTAATAGAGAGAAATTAGGGTTGTTTGGGTTTTTTTCCCCCCACAAATCTATGTTGATCCTTAGATTGTGATGTTACCTGTTAGATGTTTACAAATAGTTCTGGTTTTGTTTTCTTTTCTGCTGTTATTCTGGAAATTCAAGTTAATGTGATTGACCTGTAACTCTCTAGGACTTGCTGATAGTAGCTAATTTTGGACATAGTGTCTAGTTGTGTTTTGAGAGTAAAATAAGCCCTGAAACACTGTTTTAGGCCACAAGAAACAGACAGAACTGAGACTCTAAATTATGGATTGTAATCACAAAAGATAATTTTAAAAAATGCTTTAAAAGAGTAAATTATTCAACAGTTTAACTCTCATCCCTCTTGTATGTTACAGTTCAGTTCTTGCAGATCCCTGGCTTTATTCCTTGTTGTTGTTCTCAGTCACTGTGAGCTTCCTCATTTCTTTATGCTGTCTCTTGTGGCTCCACCCTTAAGGGGAAGGGAGCACCCAAGATTGGTAGATGCTTGTGTTCAAAAGGAACAAAACAAGTGAGAGGGTCTGCAAAAGTTTATGAAGTTTTATTAGTAAGTCACACATTTGGCGTGGAAATTAGTATGCTAGTCTCTGACCTCCTAGATGTGCACACAGCAGTGGGTTTTGGATAAAGGGGTAGAGTGAAAGAGAAGAGAGAGATGAATTAAGGAGTGTGAGAAAGTAAAGAAGGAAGAAAAGAACAACCCCTCAGTCAGTCCTGGCTCCGGTGTCAATTGATTCAAGTGATGGGGATGTCCAGGGTTTTGGGGGCACTGCACGGACTTGATAGGGGTACTTCTCTCTGCCCTGGAGATAACTAATTTGCATAGAAAGTGAGAAACTTATCATGTACAGCCTGTTCTTTTAGACCTTTCTGGAAATGGATTAGAGGGATTCTGTTGTCTTTAGTCGTGCTTTTTTCCCTGCAGTCCATGCCTGTTTCTCAGCCTCATTCCGGTGTGCTGCACTGTTATGCTTATCTCTTAGAGCTAGAACAAGGACGTTTGTCCTGGAAAAGTGCTGCCCTTCCTCCATATGGCCCCCTTCTCCAGCCACATCCTGTTCTTTCTCACAGTGTGTTATTACCAACAATCCTTGGCTGCTACTACCAACAATCCTTGATTGGCTCCAAAGCTATATGGCTATCAGTGTTTGAGAGGTACACGTTAGCCCCCTTATCTTCTAGGCCTCTACACCCTTTCAGGTCTTTCAGGAAACTTAATTTGGGGCAGTTAGGAATAGTATCTCTAATATATGAATGGTACCAGCAGTACTCCATAAGCATTTGCTTTTTTCCTTACACTTGTCTTGAATGAAAGTGTCAGACATAAGGACTTGAATCAGTAATTGAGCACATGAAACCCACCATTTTCTTCAGTTTTCTAGGTTATATATTGCTGTTGGGCATCTACTTTTGGTGAGAAAGACTGTATTATATTTAACCTACTAAAGCTTTGCCTCATTGGGAATCCCCAAAATGGGATACACATGGAAAGAAAACAGTTGACAGAGTTTAACTCTCATCCCTTGTGTATGTTACAGTTCAGTTCTTGCAGATCCCTGGCTTTATTTCTTGTTCTCAGTCACTGTGAGCTTCCTCAGATGTGTGTGCCTTTTCTGTCTTGCTGCTGACACCCAAGCCACGCCAATCCACCACTTCTTTCAGATTCAGGTTCTTTGTATTTGGAAAAAAAAAGGAGCTACAGCTCTGCTGAGGTTGGCTGTCTTTGATTCACTGCATGAATGTAGCTGAATTGTATGTGCAGTGAAGGGAAGATGTTGGCAAAATCTGGTCTTAGTTGGAGAGAAGTTAACCAAGACTGTAAATCTGAAAGCATTCCAGCTAATTCCTGGCTAATATTTCTTCTATATCATTCTAACAGTAATGAGAATTTGAACAATGAGATGTCTGCGTGTTACCCTGATAATAGAGAGCACAGCTAGAATGCTGGCACCGGGGATGCATTCAGTTATATTCTCTACTGCCTATGTCTTGATTTGGAAAACTGGATTGTATGAAGGTAAATTCTAGCTTTAAAAATAAAGAGGCTGTGCTAGTCTGGGATGTAATTTTGCCTGAGCCAACTAGGTCTTTTCTACGTGTGGAAAAATCAGACCTGTGCTTCAGCAGTGAAGAACCAGCCACATTACTGAGAAGAGGCAGAACCCATAGGGAAATGCTTTGGAAATCCTTTCTATGCCTGGGTCCCCATTTGACTGCTGTATCTATACTGCCTAAAGTATCTACTTTAGGCGATATCTATACTGCCTGAAGAATCATAGAATTACAACTTGTATAATTCTGCAATGATGAGAATGTTAATGCATGAAATGCTGCCTGAGAAGGTTCACAAGCAATTGCTCATCGTGGGATTTATGAGTAGTTCTAGCAGGTAAAAATCTGTGGAAATGTGAATCTTGTTTGAGCTACTTCATCATAAAGATATTTAACCTATACTTAATAAGTGTCTCTAAGTCTTTAATGAGTTAGCACTTACAGTACTGAATTAATCCTGAATCACTGTATTTCCAGACATCTAGTTAATACTGCTGTTGATTACAGCTTACTTAGTGACTGCATCACTGAAGGCTGAATATACAGTTAAGGATCTGAGGATCAGACCAGGTTGCTCAGGGCTTTGTGCACTTGTGCCTGAAAAACCTCCAAGGAAGGAGACTGAACAAGCTCTGTGGGCAGCCTGGGCCACTGCCCTCCTGGGGAAAAGGTTTCTCCTTACATCTAGTTGGAAGCTTTCTTTAAGGTTATGATGTACTTAAAAACAGTGAAAGCTAAAAAAATAAATACTAATTTCTATTATTGAAGTTTGAGATGAGTAGTGCTTATTTTCCTACTTAAGGAGTTGATTGAATCCAGTATTTTTCCCTATTGATCTAAGCGGACAGCATTTCCCCTGTGTGCTGCTTTGAGAAATCCAGTTTTGGGGATTTTGCTTTGAGAAACTCGGCTGCAGGTGCAGGGTTAAGAGTTATCTATATGTAGAGCTTTATCTTACCTCTTGAAAAGCCTCTAGGGAGAGGATGAATCAGGCCTGCTAATTAAACAAGCTAGGGGCTGCAAACACATGGAAGTGGAACAGGTGACAAGAATAGCATAAAACACCTTGGCTTCTCTTGCCAGCTGGGCCAGCCTGCAGGTGTTGACAGGCACATGAAGGTAGGGGTGGGAAAACTGTCAGCTTTTCTTCTTCTCACCTTTGATGGAAAGGGAATAAAAAGAACAGCTTATCTTTTGTGTTTAAATATCATTCCAGATGAAAAATTTCATCAGATTCTGTTCCCAAGTGTGTCTTAAAAAGCAAAGAGAAAAATAAACTTAAAAAATAGAAAGAACACGCATCTGTCTTCAATTTAAGTTAGAAGGAATTCTTTAAAACCAAAACAAACCCACTAACCCTTATTTTTTTTCCCTTTCTTACATTAGCAGTTATATGGGACAAATTAATATTGGATTTAATAGGCTTTCTGTGCCTAATAGATTTTATACCTGAAAAAATTACCATCACTAGCAAATCCTGGTTATGTTGGAAAAAAAGGCTCTGCTTGTATATTAACGCTCTTACCAGAAAAGACTTTTGACTATTTTGCTTTAGAAGTATTTACTAAAATGGAACTTTTTAATTGTATAGATGAGAAATTAAGGGTTCTCTTGTTTTGAAGTGTTATCACATAGTCAGAATTAATAATAAGTGTGTGTGTGCAGCTTCTTCGTTCTGGGTCTGTCAGCCTCTGGTTGCCTTGTCTCTCAAATGTTTTTACTACATCTGTAGTTAAAATCAGTTTCTTCTCTTTGCTCTTTCTACCTCTGAGCCTTCACTTTCTTGTTCAGAAGTACTTATGAGCACAAAGATTGCAGGACTGTGCAAATAACTTCTACGTTTTCCAATGTCCCCTTTGGCATATTTGGTATTGGCAATTGTGTTTCAAAAAGTAGTAGTGCAAAGAAGTCTTCCCTATGGGTAATTTATGGTCTTTGGGGTTGATTCAGAAACCACAAACACATAAACAAACATAACCCACTGTGGAGCCAGAGAGAATATAAAAAACATCTAAATCCATCAAACCAGGCTGGTGATTTTTTTTTTTTTTTTTAAACATGACTTTAAAGTTGCAATCACTGATACTGGTGTCAGGACCACCGATCAGTTGCCTCAGTGCTTTCGGTTGAAGTGGCTGATAAATCGTTCTTCCAGGCTGCCCTGTTCATCGCTGCCATAGCTGTACCCTCTCAAGGAAGTGCTTGCTGTTGTATTTGGCATTGCAAAGGGTTCCTGCTCTTCTTCCTCCTTGTCCCTGAACGTCATAATGGTGATTGTGGATGTCAGGATGAGGCATTCTAGAGGGCCTCTTCTACTTGCATTGTCTGGTTTCTTACTTGGGTTGTCTGGTCTCCAGCTCTCTGCTTCTTGCTCCTGCCCTGAGCTGTGTTGCAAGTTTGGTAGCCTGTGTCTCTGTCTTACTGCACACAGCAGTGTTGCAGTGATTCCAATTAATCACTTGGTACCTTCACACCTCAGAGTGTGCCCTGGCCAGGGAAGCCGCCAGTTTCAGTCAGCCCTCGTGGATTCTGTGTTGCTTTATATCTATGACTAGTAAATTAAGAGTGGTTGGGGAGAACTATTGGAAGTTCTCTTTTTTTTTGTATTAGACAGAGCCTTCTTGTTTTCCAGAATTAAGTCTGAGATTCACAGATTAACTTCTATTTAATTCAAATTTTCCAAGGTCTATCTTTTAATTCTAAAGCAAATTTATTTTCTCAACCTCCTTTTTAAACAGATGAATCATGTGAAAGACAGATTTGGTGACAGTGTGCCAGAAGAAGTGCTTCTGCTGTGTCTGGGCATTACTTCAGGAGTTGGCAGGCTGATCTTTGGCAGAGTTGCAGATTATATTCCTGGTGCAAAAAAAATTTATTTACAGGTATGTTTTTATTATTTCTACATTTCTTCAGAACTGCGTATTCTGAAGGCTTTGGTTTCAGGTACTACTAATAAGTAAGCAGAACTAACTGATTAGAAATTCAAATTTGAGAAGTTTCAAAACTCTGTGAAACTCAATGTATGGTGCTTGATGCTAGGAGCCTTTGGCGTAAAGTTTATGAATCTGATTTTTATTTTTAATGCTAAGAAAATGTCCATTTCCTGCTTGCTGTTTTCAGCTGGGAATGGAAGAAATTACTAATCATTAGCATGTGAGTGAGAACCTCTGGGGATTCTCTAGATTCTGCTTTCTCTGTTTTATCCCGTGAATTCATAATGGTTGCAGAAAGGTTAATTTTTTTCCATATGTTCCTCTATTAAGGATTTTTGGATCTCTTGATCTTGGAGCTGATTTGGTGTTAAGTATGTTCTGAGTACAGCATGCAGTGGTACAGCCATGGGAACATAAGAGGTGCTTAGTCGAGGAGATTTTGCAGGAGGAGTCACAGCTTCCAGAAGTGCTGAAGCTTGGGGATGAAGGAGGATATACACTTCTTTCCCTGAACACTTACAAACGATATTTTTTTTAAGGCAGTAGTAGAGTTAGTGTAGGATTTTGGAAAAGCTTTAGTCCACTTGCATGTTGGCAACGACGTGGTGTTCTCCATTTGCTATTTTAAAAAGAATAGCAGGGGAGACATCTAGTGGATGTTGTCTGCACTGCATATGGAAAACAAAAATTCTTGGGAAAGAATTACCTTCCCGGAGTATTTGTTGTCATAGATAAACTTAAATTCCCCGATGTGTTTGGTTTCCTATGCTGACACATGGATGGTCCACAGGCAAAACTGTTACCTTTTTAATTTTCTTTTTAATTCTGCTTCATTTTGCTGAAGGGCAGTTTTATTCCTTTAGTCTAAAACAAATAAATAGTCTAAGATTATATTAGAAAATCTTTTGAAAGTGTGCATTACTACAGCAGTGCACTTTTTTTGGTGGAAAAATTGTAATGGTTTCACTTCTGTTGAATATAAGCACCCTGAAGTAATCATTCATAATATTGATATTTTTACTTAAATTACAATAGTGAGGAGTCTAATCACAGTGTTTCAACTGTATTAAATTTTGATATTTCTATGACTTTCATTTGTGGAAAGAGCTGGGAACAACTTCTCAAAAACATTGGTGCATGAGAAATGACCTTATAGAGTCACTGCAGGATAGTTGAATACAAATGCATTTTCAAAGCTTGCAAAATGGGTAGTGGAATTTCTTTGCCTGTCATGAGTTATGTCTTTGTTTTATCTTGGTATGTAACCTTTGATGGTGGTAATCCATGGAGACTGATTGTATTTATTTTAAAGCAAATACAGGCAGACAATTTAATTCATTACAAATGCGAGGAAGTTTGTCTGTTCCCTAATATTTGTGAATTTGATGCAATGTGTTTTTATATCTTTTCCTTGGTCGTGTTTAGGTGGCCTCATTCTTCTTTATTGGCTTGATGTCTATGATGATTCCACTGTGCCATGTCTTTGGAGCTCTCATAGCTGTGTGTCTCTTCATGGGCCTATTTGATGGGTGCTTCATTTGCATTATGGCTCCTATTGCCTTTGAGCTTGTTGGGGCTCAGGATGTCTCCCAGGCCATAGGGTTTCTGCTGGGACTCATGTCAGTCCCTATGACAGTCGGCCCACCCATTGCAGGTGAGTATAGACGTGTTCTGTAGCTGTAAATGTGTTTCTACGTCTGCATGACTTTTTGGCCGTGTTTTCCATTCCTACATCGTGTGCAGTGCGCTGACATTGTAAGTTTTCTTAGTATGTGCTTGAGAAGATGTGGTGAATTTAACAACTGGGCGTGGGTTATTAGTTTACCACACTTTTCAAAGTTTGCTCGATCTTTTTCATTAAGTTATGCAGATGCAAAACATTCCCCCAAAGAAAAGTAAATTTCCAGTTGGTTTTGGGACCTGAAATCTTCCATGCTATTGAAATGACAGCCTATAGGTTGCTTGTGTTAGAGTAGGACTCCAGGTTAGAATCTGCAAATTAGCTGGATTCCAAAATTAGCTTTATTCATTCTTTGATGGGAGGCTGTTTGACAAAGTAAAGGTTTTGAAGCTGAATACTGGAAGTTCTTTGGGAGGTATAAATAGCTAAAGCTGTGTTCCTTACCACTGATGATTTTCAGTGCTAATTTACTCTGAGATCTGGTGAGTGCTACTGAAAAGTACTTAGTAAGTTGTAACTGAACTATGCAGCATTACAAAGGACAACATTTTAAAGCTGGAACACCATAGACTAGTTACTTCCTGATCTGGATATACTGTCAGAGCTATTAATACTTAAATAGACTTTTACTAATGGGAGGAATTTGGAGAGAGCAATTAGAGTGAAGTTTTGGCAAACACACTTTTTAATAAGAGGCTACTAGGAATGCAATATATGCAGTATATCGAGAATAAGAGGAAGGGGTACATTTAACAGAGGCAACTAGAACTAAAGGAGGGAGAATTTCTCTAAATAATGGTAAGATATAAGTGCTGGAGAAGCTCAAATGAGCAACTTTCAAATAGGAAAGATTATACATGTTTTTGATGGGTGGTAGTTAAGCAGTTGAGGCGTGGTATACTGAGCTCTTCATTACTACTTTCAGATCAACTCTGGAATACCTTTCTACTTATATGTACATTTATATTTGGTTATATATATATCTCAGGTTGTCAGTTGTGCCAGCTCTCAGGTTTCTGCATCCGAAACCAAGACCTGTTTTTTATAGATTCCTGAGGCCCCATTATGAGCAGTTATTTCCTGTCTTTCCAGGCTTGCTGCGGGATAAGCTGGGCACCTATGATGTAGCATTTTACCTGGCTGGAGTCCCTCCCCTTATTGGTGGAGCTATTTTATGTTGCATCCCCTGGGTCCATGAACGGCAGAAGTTAAAAGAAAGAGCAAAACCTGTTGATGGAGAAACTACTGAGAAAATGCTGGAAAACGAAAGCACTTTGGTGTCAAACACAACAGAAAAGCCAGTCAGAGAACTGGAATCTGGCATTTGATGCTTTCTTTTCCCTGTACCATCCTGACCTCTACTGAAGTTTGATTTCTACTTTTTGGCTGAAGATATTATACTACACTGAAGAAGTCTTGAACTATTGCTCAAATTGCAAAACTGTTATAAGAATCTTTTATACTATTGAACTTTTTTGATGAATTGTTGAATTTGATCTCAAGCCACATTTTCAAGGTATTTGAAGTTTTGTAGCTTTAGTGTGTATGTGTGTAGTGATTCTGTGTGTGAAGAGAATATTTTTCTAATCCATCAGAACCGATTTCTGGAAATGTGAAAGCTGTTTTTGGTTCACTGATCCAGGATTCTTCAATCACATTTATGGCCCATCCAATGCAGGCACACCCATGGGTGTTTATACTGGATAATGTAGTAGCTCTTATGACTGATTTGTTTTTTGAAGTTTCTCATGCTGTTTACAGTCTTTTATAATTCTATATCATGAACATGAATATGCATATTTTTCATTCCCTAAACTCTTGATGAAATGATTTTTCATTAGAAAACTAAATTATTAAACATCTGCTTTATTTTCTCTAAATACCCCAGCCTGTTTAGTTTGCCAAAACACTCACGTGTGTTTGCATTCAACTTTCATGGTAGCCCAAACAAAGAATATTCAGGATTAAATTCTTGGGCTCAGGTTTTGAATATGTGCAAACCAAGCTCTGAGTGCGAACACGTTCAGAAGTAAAGCTGCTGAATGATAGACTTTTTTTATTTAGTGAAGGCAATACTATTAAGATGCATGTGTATAATTTTTTTTTCAGCCAAACCTCAGAGTAGTGGATAGTTTTGAAACTGTATTGATTAATTCTTTGGAACAGTATTGTGAATTAGACTGAATTTCAAATTATTCTGTTATACTTGTTAGTTTTTTTATTCTTAAAAACCAGACAGCTTTAAAAGATACATTCTAAGTGCAATACCAAGTTGTTTTTAACGTGGAAATATACATGAGCTATTAAAACGAAGTTCATCAGTTAAGGATTTTTGCACTAAGTGAACATGCAGGTTGATTACAGGTCTATATAGCTGTGTTCAATTACCTGTAGGATATAGCTCCATATTTTATTCAAATATAAAGAAATGTCTTTGCATGTCCTATTTCTTGCTTAACATCCTAAACATATGGCTCCATTGCTTATGTATTCTTAGGTATTATACACTGTTTGTTGAGCAGGTATTTTGAAAACCTCTTTTTCTGAAAAGTATTTAAAAGCATACTACTTTGAGATGAAAACACTGCTTTTCAGTTTATCATAAAATACTTCTAAGCACAGTGCTTATTTGTGGATGTGGATCAGCAAACACTGAAATAGAATAATTCTTTTTTTCAGGTCCATTCGATACCAATCATTTTTCTTTCCTTGTTTAGAACTGTCATAGTGAAGAGTAAACTAAATGTGATCTGGACAAAGTGTGTATTTAAGTGCATTTTCTTAATTAGTAACAGTACTTGTTCTTTACACAAACCATGGAGGCATACTGTTCTTTTTAAACTACAGCCTTTATTGTCTTTTCTGGTTTCATTATTTTTCTTTCTCCAGTGTTGTTGTAGTAAATTGCTCAGAAAACCCACCTCCATTTGTGATACAAAACAGCAATACTATTGCATTGAATGTTTACATCTAGCAACTGAAAGAAGTTCTCTAAATGTACTATTCAGAGCATGCTAGCCATTGTAGACCAAACCTCAGACCCTTTTTCTATTGCAGACTTTCAATCCCTACTTTATATGAGTGAGCTCTGAATAATTGAATCTTAAAATATTAGAGGTATAGGGAGAGACTTGAAGGTGGGGAAAAAAAAACCCTAAACCAATTTGGAAAACAGAGGTCCCTTCAGGCTCACTGGGACTTGTGCTTTGGCACGTCATAAGTACTTCTAAAATTTTCATTAAGAGATGCATAGTATTGTTAATTAAAATTACTATGAAATGCTGCCTTCATTACAAAAGTGATGTTAGCAGTTGATGTTGCTCTTGTCTGGAGTATTTCTGTAGAACATGTTATTCAGTATTATTTTCCAGTTGGGCAAGGCAAAAGGTGGTCTTGAGTAAGTGTGGTAAAAGCCTCTTGTTTCCTATTGCTTTGTTATGAAAAATTAATGTTCATCACAGATCTTGCATTTCATGTGTTTTAGTGTTGAGTTTTAAACCAAAAACAAGGCTGCTCTTTATCACTGGTGCAATTTGAAATGATTGTGACCAGATATCTTGATGTAATTGTGACATTTTCCTGACTTGCTGCTCTATATCTCTATAAATTATCTAGCAGAGTATATAAAGTAATTGTTGTTAAGTTTTAGAAATGACACAGAGATGATATAACAATAATATGGATTAATTATTGGCATGTCCTTTAAAAATAAAAATCCAAACTCTCATATTTGAGTAACGAAAAACATTATATTGCTCACAAATATGAAGGACAGCATTTATTTAAAAAAAAAAAAAAAGGCAAACCAAAAGCTACCAACAAACAAATGACTCCAGGAGAAGGTACAATGAGTGAATAACTGTTTAGGAGTAATTACTATGTCAAAACCAGCTAGTGAATGGGATATTAGATGAGAGGGAAGCAGAGTTAGGGATGAGGAAGCTATGCTGGTGTGGTGATGTTGGAATAATGAACGTATTCTTATGCCAGTGCTTGTTTTGCCAAAACTCTAAAATTGGAAAGGTTTCTCAGAGAAGGTAAAGTAAATTAATGCAGAAGAATTCTGTTAGCATCTTTTCTGTTAGCTTGTATCTATGGGGGAAATGTCTGATAGAAAATGGACAAAAGCATAAGGAGTTTGTGTCCTAAAGCTAGATAAGACATAGTTAAAAATGAAAAAAAAAATAATTTCAGATTTTTAGTGGTGAGGCCAACCAGTCACTGAGAAACTTACTGAGCAATATACTGAATTTTGTATGCCCTGAGATTTTAAAAATGAGGTTATCTGTCTCTCCTTAAAAAACCCAAACAAATCCCAACCCAAACCAAAACACAAAACCTCAAAACAAATAACTATTTATTACATTAATTATAGTGATAAAATATTGTTGAAATGGTTGCAGTTCTGAAAACTAGGAGAGAAAAGGAGTGAATATTCAATTTTATTCTAACTGAATAAATGTAAAGAACTTTTTGTAGCAATTTATTTTCAAGTGTGAAAACCTGTTCATGGGAAGCCTGATGAACTTATATTTTGATGACCCAGTTCATTCCAGATTTGATCTTGTTGGCAGGTAGATTCTAAAATTAAAATATTAGCTTAATTCAAGAAGACTATTAAATTATTCTGATGTATCCTTCTCTTGAGAACAGTTTGTAAGAGTACTTTCCATAGATATTGCTCTCTCATCCTGTAAACAAAGTAATCATCTTTTTTCCACTGAATGTTCTCAGGGTAAACTTTAGAAGAAATTGGGTCAAGAGAGGTTCACTTAAAACGGGGGTGTGAAATTTCCAGTCCTACTTAATGCTATAATTAATACACCAGACCTTCACACCAGGACTAATTTTGAGCAGGGTTTGTTTGGCTTCATGTCTGGCTGACCTATCTTTTCAGTGCATATGAGATCCTTGTAAATCTTAATAAAGCTATTCAGAAAAGAGTCAAATAACAAAAACCCTTCAGGCTATTATTTACATCTATGCTATACAACAATATTCAATGATTAATTAATAAAGAAAGTATCATTGGATTTGCTTTGGCTACAGTAGAAGACCCATAGCAGTCTCAAACCAAGACTTCGAATTGTAACACAGAATTTCTTTCATCCAGGTCTTCTTCTGTTCAGCATTAACATTTTAATTATTTTTCTAAACTTATTTTCAGTGACCATTTATTGCTCCTGAAGATTGCCCCCTCACCTCAAAGATGCTATAGGCGTTCTGTGGCCGTTCCTCAGGGTATATTTGGTATTAGAGGTAGACAACTGACATTCTTCTCCTTTGGTTCTTCCCGTCCAATGTCTGGGCATATACATTCCCCCCTTCCCTTCAGAGACACTGGATTGTCAAACTGATGCACACCATATTGGATATGGATTGTACTTTTCGGCCTTCCCTGCATTAAATCTTTGAGTAGCCATAGCCTGGCAGACCAGCCAAGTTTTGGTGAAGTGAGAGGGGTGAGATTGGATCACCTCCCAGGAGCGCTGAAGGCAGCTCTTGCATATCCCAGATGAATGCTTTGATCACAGGCTTGTGGTGTAAAAAAAAAAAAAAAACAAAAATGAACACTGCCATTGTAAAGAAAAAATGCCCTGCTCAGTCCTTTACATCAGGTAGTACATGCCAAAGGGACTGGAGATGCTTCCTTGCAGCCCCAAAGGGAGTATGCCAGGATGGGAATCAGTGCTACTATCCTTAGTATCATTTGTATAGTTTAGCTTAAACCGCCGGGCTCTCCCTGTGCTGGCATGGGGCAGCTCCCTGCCTCGGGAGCTCACAGAGTGGCCCAGCTGCGCCCTCTGAGCAGGGAGCAGAGGTGGTGCCTTGTTTGGGGCCTGGATTCCCCTTCAGAGAGCTGGAAGTGTTACAAAAGCTGGCATCTGAAACCTTTTGTCAGAAATGACCCCCTGCTATTAAGAGTGTGAGTGTATGTATATATAAATACAATGTATTTTGACCAGGAGCATACACAAACATTCTCCATTTAACTAGAGGAGGTGTAGCACTGGAATGTGAGAGATGGCTGAGGAAAGAGTAATTATTTTCATTGTGTGTCTCACTGTTGACAAGCACAGCACCATTACAGTTCCAGCCAGCCACTGAGTTTCTAGCCACGTAAACTTTGGCATATGTTCAGTATGCCTTTTAGTCTATATATATATTGTGTCAACAATTGTAATGTTTTGGAACTGCATATGCTAAGATTAAAGTGATTTTATACCAAAATGTTTGCTAATATTGATAACACTGACACATTTAAGTATCTTTATAGACATCATATTTTGTATGTTGTTTTTGATATTAAAGGATATATGTTTTGCTAGCCTAAACTACATTCTTTCAAGTTCTGCTTTGAGTAAGAAATGAATGTCTAATGTTTTTCATGGTGCTAAAATAACTGTGATCAGCCTCAAATTGTTCAGAATAAAGATGGTAGTTTTAAAGTGCCCCATTTGTTACTACAGTCATCATTTTTAGTCTTATTCTCATGTAAAACTTGTAATTTTAACAAAGTAATTTTATGTTATATTAGGATAATTATTGAATCTAGTGTGCAGACTTCGGTCTCAAAGACTTTACATCTTTTATTACCACTGTGGTCTGACTGAAATATTCCCATTTGATCCTAAATTAATATATGGTGCTGCCCATATAATTCTGATTTTACTGACAATCCATTTTAACATTAATTATTTATAAACTTAAACTACTGAGTTACTTATTTCTGAAAAATTTATCTTCTCTTTCCATTCTGGGTTTTAATATCAAACTTAAAGAAAGAGATATATTCACAAAAGGCAGAAGTAAAATTGAGGGAGGGAGCTTGAATTGTGTTTTAAAAGAATTCTGATTTTTATTTTTTTTCTCCTTTTTTTGCCTCATGAACTGCTAGTGTAATTCAGCAGGACCTTTGATCATTTACTGGCCTGCTACCAGTTTCAGTTTGATTTACCTTGGCAGCGTGAAGCATGGAGTGTTTCCTCATTGACAGCTTAGGTAAATCTCAGGAATTCTTTCACCTTTTCTTTGTAGTAGGGCCAAATATTTAATTTTTCTTTAATAAACATATCTGATGTTATGAGGGAAAATATCCCCTTTTCACCTGGGGTTATTCTCTAAGCTGCTTGTAGTTCAAATTTAAAATTGAAAAAGATGCCCAAAACCTTTATAAGAGCCTGGGTGCTGTTTCCATTTGTACATTTTTTGAGGTACAAAGCTTCTTTTTAAGTGTTTAAAACAACAAGTCTAGGGAATACATTTCAAATACTGCTGTATCTTTTCTGGGAAGCTGTTTTTATAAAAAGGCGAAATACTAAAACTTAGAAATGCAGTTTGACTTGTATATGACTTTCAGAAAATAAATACTGATGTTTTATACTTGAAACTGTTTTATCTGGAATTGTCTCTGCTGCTGACTTACGAACAGAAGCTCAGCAGTGTCCTGCAGATAGGTAATAGTTCAGACTTTGCACTCTTGCAAAAGTATTGACATGGCTATGAACCATCCAGGTTTAAATGTTATCTCTCACTGTTACTTGTAGCAGCTAAATTTTTTAATGCATAAATTCCCCCAGGCTACCCGGAACAGGAGTGTACTTGCAACATGCTTGCCAGTGCCAGGAGAAACAGGAACTGGTTGCTACATTCTCCATGCACTGTTATATTCCAGTATATATTTGTTATGAAAAACTTGCAAAACAAACCAAGCCAGTTTGGAATTATCTTTGAGTTGTTTGTGAGGGTTAAGCATACCAAGTATGCTGAAGATTAGAGCCTTTCTTACAGAGAACACTCTTACGAGAATGAAACAAAACACGTTGCACAGCCTGGGAGCTGCTCCAGGAGAGTGGTGGGAATTGATATAGTTTTATAATACTTTTATGATACTTTTACCACTAGGGATGTTTTAATACTTGTTCTGAGGAGACCCAGCAGCTCTCTGTGTCTTGAGAAGGTTTATCAACATATGACAGTCACCGTAGTGAGATAACGAACGACCTTTTATGCTCGGTTGTCTGAAAGGTCGAGTGAGTTCTCTGGTTTACAGGGGTTCATTTAACTAATGAGCTCCTCCCTGGCATGCCAGCGGTGTGGCATAAGACTGCAGCTGAGTGCAGGGTGAAGAGTAGAGTGTGAGCTGCCCTGGGAATGCCGGTCCTGGAGGCAGATCAGCGTTCCGCGGAGGAGGCGGCAGAGGCGCAGCCATCCCCATGCCCTGCGGAGCCGGGCGCTCCGGCAGCTCCTCCTGCCGCCGTGCGTGGGGCGGAGCCGCCCCCCTCGGGCCCGGAGCGGCCCTCGGAGCCGGCGCAGGGAGCCATGGCCGATGCCGGGAGGGAGATGTACGTCCGGTTTGTGGGCCCGGAGGAGCCGGCGGAGGAGGAGGAGGAGGAGGCGGCGGCGGGGCCGACGGGCGGCGGGCGCTGCGGCGGGGCCGGAGCCGCCCTGCGCTGGTGCATCACCGGGGCGCTGTGCGCGGCGTTCCTGGGGCTGGTGAGTGAGTCCGTCCCCGGGAAGGGGGAGAGCGGGAGGCCATGCGGCCCCTTCCCGGCCCGGCCGGGGGAAGGGTCGGGCGAGGTGACCCCGCATCTGCCCTGCAGGGGATGAGCATCGCCGTGCTGGGTCCCACCTTCCCCAACCTGGCCGCCAACGTCGGCAAGAACGTCAGCGACATCTACTACATCTTCGTGGGCAGGTCCCTCGGCTACCTGGGCGGGTCGGTGATCGGCGGGGTGCTGTTCGACTGCATGAACGCCAGGCTCCTGCTCGGTGAGTGCTGCCCCAAGGCCGCGGGGAAAATCGGCCTGTCCGAAACTGTTCAGGGCAACTTGGGCTTCTCCTCGGCGTGAGCAGCCCGAGGGGGAGAGCTGTCGCCTTTCCATAGCGGTGCCGAGCCGTGGGGAGGGGCGCCCGTGGCACGTGGTGCTGCAGCTCCCCGTAAATCCCCGTGGCACTTGGTGCTGCTCCCCGTACATCCCGGGCAGTTCTGCTGCTGCTCGCTGTCGCCGTATTCTGCCCTGTTGGGTTGTTCCTGACACTGCCTGTGCTCGGGCATTACAGCGTCACTGCCAACAGGCTGGGCCCGCTGGGTACATCAGCAGTGGTAACTGGAATTGAACTGACAAGATCTGTTTGGACTGGAAAAGTATGTCGGACTTCTCTTAGTTTGTATTACGTAATGTGCCTGGCGCAGATCCCGTTGGAACATACAGGCTTCTATAGTGCCACTCCACGAAACACACAAACGGGAAGCTGTGTTTTGGCTGTCATGCACACCCCAGAAACCTCCAGCAGTCATGCTGAGGCACACTTTTGTGGGGAGAGTTATCTAAAACTGTTCCCTTACTTAACACTCATCAGACACGATCATCTTCATGTGGACAAAAGTCCGGAGATTTTTACTGGAGGGCCTTAGCCAAATTGGAACTTATTTAAAATGGAGAATATTAAATACTGTCTGTGATGGTGGAAACATTTAAACTGTAGGAACCACAGCTGATGATCTTAACAGTTTTCTGGACATGTGGAAACTTGCTTCTATAGGAGCACAGGACTGGCCTTGTCCTGGCAGAGCGGGGCTGCTCAGCTGTGAGGGTGCCAAGAGCCACACTCAGCATCCAGAAATGAGGAGCTCTTTTTAGAGTTGTTTTAGTGTCACATTCCAGTAGAGATTCTCAGAGTACACCTAAAATAGTGGAAGCCCTGCCTTTTTTTTCTTTCGAGTCCAGTAATGTCAGTGTGTGCCTTGGTGCTCTAAGTTAGGGATGAAATAATTTACCAGGGCTCGCTCTTTTCTTCTTTATTCAGGGAAATTCAAACAGAGTTGTGCTTTCCTTGAGGACCATGCTCTAACCACAGGATCAGTTCAGAGAATATGAGAAGATCCCTTTTTCCATTGCTAAGTGTTTGAACAAAGTCTTATCGTATCCCCGTGTGCCTGTCTCCTGTAAGGAGCAGTCATATCATGTAACGTCACTCTCCCCTCTTGTCTCCATTTCCATGGATCAGTTCTTATTTGCTCTTGTTCTAAGATGCTTAAGAGTCTTCTCCCTGTCCTTTAAACCTGTCTTCTCCAGAACACCTGCAAAGTGGGTTTCCTTTTGCCTCCTCCCTGTGCATCTGACAAGGTCAAAGTTGTCTGTGTCTTACATTTAAGACTTTATCTTCCATAATGGAATCAGTACACCTGTGGAAGTGCAGGCTAACTTGAAATAGTTCAGTATTTACTTCTTTTTCTGAGGTATCATGCAGGATAGCTTTCTGTCAGCAATTCTTGGAAAATGACTGATCTAATCCTTTCCAATTTGGTAGTGCTATGGCAAGACATCAGTTTGAGCAACTGACCCTCCTCTCAATTTTTGTCATCTGAGGGCTGCCTGTAAGAGATTTTGGCTTGTGTAGTTTTACCTCCTATCTTTCAGCTGCTAAAACCCTGCTATTGTACCGAGAAAAAAATTGAAGACATAATTTGTCTTTGTCAGGGATGCTTTTAAGTGCCAGTCTTCAGGTGTGAAGCTGAAGTGGGCAACTGAGCACCTGCTGAGAAGTTGCTTTTCAGCCCTAAGTGGGACACCTGAGAAGCTGTACTTAATTCACCCCATCTCTAGCATTTTCTTCTTGCAGCTCAGCATGCATGCTTTCAAAAATGTTTGGAGGCATGTATTCCAAGTATCTTGCTAGGACTTTAGGGTTCTGGGTATTTATTTTTTCCACTGTTGTTGTTTTCATTTGGAATTAACGTAAGTTCTTAATTACATCAATCCCCATTGATCTTTTTAGTATCTGCTGCATCTATGATCAGACATTGATTTGAAAAATGAGAGATATATCTGAACTGGTACAAGCCTTCTAAAAACATAATACCCTATATCCGAGATATTAATTGCAGATTATTTTATTATGAAGGTAATTATAGGCATAGAATTTGCCTGCTGAATTTCCTCTCAGATGGTAATAAAAATAATTTTAATCTGCTAAAAAATATTTTTTTTGGAAAGGCATGTTTTAAGTGTAGTCAGTAATGGCAAAACTAACGCAGTAAGTGAATTGCTGCTAAATTTTTGATGAGAAATTTTGTAGCTCTGTCTCTTAAAACTCCAGAAATCCCTTGGAATATATTCCTCATGTGGAAACAGAATATAAATTAAAGTCAGCATATACAGAGGTCTCTTGGTGGCCAAGATGCAATTACTTTAAAGGATTTTAAGAGTTTCGTGATTTGTGTTCTTTTAAAACGTAGCCAAATTAAATGCTATGCAGTTCTCAGCGGGCAAACTTGATACTGGTTGCATGGTGAAGTAAAATTTCTAGATCAGAAGTTTGCAGAAGACTTCTTGGTGTCCTACCAGTAGCTGCTATACTCCATTTGCTTTAGCAGGTTTGTCACTCAGTGTTTATATCCTGATAAAATTCTTTTTTTTTCCAAATGAAAAATGATCAGTTGAACTTTCTATCTGTTACTACTAACCATGGATCGAGGTATTTAGGTTGCATCACTTATTAGGATTATCTGTAACTTTGATAACTATGCATGTATTTTTATTTCTTGGTCTTCTGTGTAGTTTAAATGGAAACTGTGGTATGTGAGGGCTTTGTTTTGTTTTTTAACCTTTCCAGCGTTATCCATGGTTGCAACAACGGTTGGTCTTTATGGGATACCCTGGTGTAAGGACTCCCTGCTGTTAACTGTCTTGATGTCAGTTATTGGAGGCTCCATGGGAATTCTGGACACAGGTAAGGTTCCTTCACCAAAACAACAGGAAACTTCAGGCATACCAAAATGGTTGCTGTTTTTATCTGTGACACATCTTGAATTAAAAGAGGGGAGCTGTTTTACCTGGTGGGGATTCTTGGATTCTGAGGCTTCCAGTGTTCATGTGTCTGTGACAGGCCTTCCTTTAAAGGGCTTTTGGGGGTGGAGTGACCAGTGTAGATTACAGTGGAACATTAGAGGTGTAAAGGAAGTGTCCTGTGCTCTTTAAGTAGTGTTTTCTTTAAATTACAGGAGCTGGTCAGGATACGGTTCATTAACATTAGCTGGAGCTGAATTAATCATGAACAAGCCCTTGTGTTTGAGAGAGAGATTATCACAGTTGCTTTGTTGGAGTGTTTCCCACCTAAAACTGGCTAGGCAGAAGTTGGGAATTCACAGTAGGCATTTACTGCCATAGCTCACAGCACCATGGCACCTATCTCCCTGAATCAAAGAATATTTTCCACCCTTGGCTGGCCTTGCTTAGGTGACTGGGAATACAAATTTGCTCTGTCCCCCAAATTGTAAGTCTGTGGCATTTGCATACTGCAAATGGCCTGGAAAGAAAACCAAAAATCAATGACACTTTTGCTGGAAAACTGTTCAAAACCATTTTTTTAGTAGGCTCCTTATTGGAGGGAGATGATCTCAGAGATCTTTTCCAGCCCAAATGATTCTACGGTTCTAAGACGTACAAGTGAAGTTGCAGAGCAAATGTCTACAGGTGTGGTTAGAAAGGTCAGTCTTACTGGAGGTACAAAAAATAAACTCCCTCAGAAATAAGTTCATAAATTCAATGGACACAGCTTAGAAAGGATGAGTTAGGGATGGCCAGCTTTAGAAGGCAGTTTTTGTCAGTCGGCAAGGACATGGCAAGAGGCCTGGGCATGCTTAGAGATGCCTGGGAAATGCTGTCATACTTGCATGTGGAGATTAGGAAATGACTACAAATACATCAGCAGTGGAGTGTTCTGGCATTGCTGTGGAACGTGGTGGTGCAGCTGCAACAGGTGGTGGCTGACCTGGGACCTCTCCAGTGATGTCCCAGCAGCCTGCTGACTAAAGGAGCCTGGGGATGCTTACTAGCCAGGAAGGTACTTTGGGATCCGGTTGACCAGCTTTAGGGAAGGCTTTATTTCTGAGAAATAAAGAGCTGGCTCATGTGTTAACCAAGCTGTCCAAACAGCTCTGGAAGCATCCCAGCCAGGGCCTGGCTGTTGTGGCTCACCTGGTTGGCCACACAGAGGAATGATGGCTGCACATGTGAACCATCTGCCATAATTCTGTGATTTTGAGGGAGCCCTGGTAAGATGTAAAAGAGCGTGATACAGGGATTCAGTAGTGAAAAGATGGTTTTGTGTGGCACAGGCCGCACAAGAGTATTGGTAAATAACCCAAGTGCTGAGGTGCATTTGCTGTCTCTGGTAGGATCATTATACACAGCACTTGGTTTAAAAATTCTTCATATGGGAAGATCTTGTTGGGTAATGGTAAAAATCCTTCAGGCAGTGGATCTACTTCTTGGAAGTCAGATCTGAGAGGCAGGGAGACTTTCCAGCCTGACCAGGAGTAGCAGAAGAAAGTAAGAGCAAGGCAGTAAAGCGTAACTGAATTAATTTGGAACGGTTTTCGTGCTGAGGACTGCTGTACTGCAGCACAGGAATTTGATTACAGTTCTTGTTTTCCTGCATTTGTCTGAGGGATCACTTGAAAACATCTCTCTCATACCTTGTTTTCTAGCATTATTGCTGATCTGAGGGTATCGTAGTTTGATCTTTGCAGCGGTATTGATGTAAACCTTTCTGCTTCTGGAGTCCTTTTAACACAGTTGAGGGTAGTCCCAGCCCATCAGAAGCAAGTGATGGATGTTGTTTCCTGGGATGTTGTTTAATGGGGCCTCTGATTCTTAGTGTTGTGCATTGTTGCTTTTAATACTTAAAGAAAAACTTAAAGAGCAGCAGTTAAATTTGTTCATTTAAAAAAGGCTGGAAAATGCTGCATATTGTCAAGTAGGGTAATTAGAACCATAGAATCAGTCGTTTAGATTGAAAAAGACCTTTAAGGTCATCAAGTCCAACTGTTAAGCCAGCGCTGCTGAGTCTACCACTAAACCATGTCCCTAATGCCACATCTACCTGTCTTTTAAACACCTCCAGGGATGGTGACCCAACCACTTCCCTGGGCAGCCTGTTCCAAGGCTTGACAACCCTTTCTATGAAGAAATTTTTCCTAATATCCTCCTAATTTAAACCTCCCCTGGCACAATTGTGGCTGTCCACTGTTGCTGCATGGCTCTTAATTTTGACTGCTGTGAATACCCTCCTAAAGTTCAAGTAATCACATGGATTTAAGGCAGAATTTCCGTTAACTACTGTTTTGCACATTGTATTTGTTAAATCTGGCATTATTGCACATTAGTAATATAGGTTATGGTTTGTTTTGTCTTTTTTTTTTTTGTCTTTAAAACAGTATCTGGTCTCAGACTAAAATGACCGAATCCTCCTCTCTCCAATCTGCAGGTGGCAATGTACTGGTACTGAAAACCTGGGGAGCAGAAGCTGGGCCACATATGCAGGCCTTACACTTCAGTTTTGCTGCCGGTGCATTTCTGGCTCCGATCCTGGCTAAAATGGCTTTGAGAGGTTCTGAATCTGAAGAACATCCTGTGGCTGAAAAGACAAACCAATCTGTCCTGAAGTCTGTGCCGACAGCATCGACTGCATCAGCTATACCAACACTGCAAGACCATCTTGAGGAAGACTTCTTGTGGTCCTATGTTGTCATAGGGACCTATCTTCTCTTAGTTTCCCTCTTCCTTTTTTTTTTGTATTCAAAGGGCAGCTCAGCTCGCGACAAATCAAAGGCTTCTCAGCAGAAGGGCAAGCTTGCCAGATACCACTGGGCTCTAATTGGTCTCCTGTTCGTATTCTTTCTTTTCTATGTGGGAGCAGAGGTCACTTATGGCTCTTATGTATTTACTTATGCAATAGTCTTTGCTGAGATGAAAGAAAGTGAAGCAGCTGCTTTGAATTCTGTCTTCTGGGGTGCGTTTGCTGCTTGCAGAGGAGTGGCAATATTTGGTGCTGCTTTCTTGTACCCCGGCACCATGATCACGCTGAGTCTCGTAGCCTCTGCTGTCTCCTCTTCAGCCTTGGCCTTCTTTGCACATTACCGAGCCTCCCTGTGGGTGGGAAGTGCCGTGTATGGAGCATCAATGGCCACCGTCTTCCCCAGTGGCATTTCCTGGGTAGAACAATACACAGTTGTGGAAGGAAAATCGGCTTCTCTGTTTGTGATCGGCGCCGCGCTGGGCGAGATGTGCATTCCCGGCCTGGTGGGATATCTCCAAGGCAGGTTTCACCACGTTCCTGTGGTTATGTACACTGCCTTCGTGTCTTCTGTAATGACAGCTGTACTCTTCCCAGTGATGTACAAATTGGCCACCTCTCCCCTTGAGAACGACTTGAAAGAAGTGAGTGACAGTGAGACCCAGAAAGCTTTGTTGTCAAACTCAAGGCTTACTGAGGATGAAGAGGATGAGGACGATGAGGAGGATGTGAGAGAGTGGAACAAAGCAGACTTTGAGGTAATAGAAATGAATGACAAGCTCAAAAACTCTCTCATAGACACCTCCCATAAGATACCAGCGGACTCTCCAGCTCAAGTCGCTCTCCAGCCCCATCTGGACAATGTATCGGGCGATTCTCCAGTGGTTACTGGTGGCTCTCCTGGGAGACAAAATGGGAATGTTGACTGGGAGAAGAGTGATTAAAGTCAAAGCTTTCATTTTTTTAAAATGGAAATTCAGCCTGCAGCGATGTGTCCCAGAGTGGGCAGCTCCTCAATGATGTGAATGGGGCAGCATGATAAATGTGTAGGCTATGCCAAAACTGTTAAAATGTTGAGATGTTTTCTAAGTGTGAGGCATGCATCCAAGTATGATACGCTGTGATAACTGGGAAAGAAGGGGACTGCTCAGACTACTCAGTTTTTTGGGATGGATGAAAGGTGCAGGTCTGAGGTGCTTTGTCACAAAATGTTTTCATGAGAGAGGAGAACTGTCATCTGTGATGCTGAACTTTTCCTACCCTGTGAAAAAGGAATATTTTTATTGCATTTGAAAGTTGCGTGTGATCCGGAAATCAGTTAAAATTTCAGGTGATGGTCAGCGGCTGTAAACTGAATAACCTTTTGGCAAAGTATATAAATTCCTGGTTCTATCACTAAGATGAGAAAAAAAAGGATATTATTTCTTAGGAGTGGAACCATGCCTTTGGGTCACCTCAAAGCAGTTTATGGGAAGAGGCACAAAATTGGTCATTGTTAATCTGCTCTAATGCACAACTCTGACTTACTCAACAGCAGTGAGTTATCTAAATAACCTAAACTATTTGTGATTTTAATTATGGCACTACCACTGAAATCAACAAATATATGTAGAAGATGATAAAATTATCATAGAATCATAGAATGGTTTGGGTTGGAAGGGATCTTAAAGATCACTTAGTTCCAACCTCCCTGCTGTGGGCAGGGACAGCTTCCGCTAGATCAGCTTGCTCAGAGCTCCATCTAGTCTGGCCTTGAACACTTCCAGGGATGGGGCATCCATAGCTTCTCTGGGCAACCTGCTCCAGTCCCTCACCACCATCACTGCAAAGAATTTTTTCCTAATATCTAATCTAAACCTACTCTCTTTTAGTTTGAATTAATTCCCCCTTGTCCTGTCACTACATGCCCTTGTAAAAAGTCCCTCTCCATCTTTCTTATTGGCTTAATATATGGTATTGGCATAGGGGTGTGTTCTTTTTAAGCCAGTTGTTTAAATTAAGGTTATAACAACTTCTCTGGCTTCCTGTGCCAAGACTTTCACAAAGTAATATGTTAAAATGAAAATTTTAGGAGCGGGAATTATCAATGAGGCAAACGTTTCCAGTTGTACTGTGTGAGTACTTGCCCCTGACCAGCTGGATTGGTGCCATTTGGGTTTCTTTGGGGGATGACATTAGCAGAGAAGCTGTGGCTTGCATGTGTAGGTTCATTGCTGCTAAGGAGGAAGCCCCGGGCAGGAGCAGTCACACCAGCGAGCCCTTGTAAGAGGCAAAGAAAAAAAAAAAAGGAATAGTAGCCAATGGCAAAACCTGCCTCTCAACAAATTTGGAGTTTCAAGTTGACAAATGCCAAGATTACTCTTAAGTGTTTTTTTTTAAGGCTGTGCGATCATGATGTGCTCATGTTTGTTTTTGTTTTTTTTTTTAATTATGCACTTTTATTAGTATTTTTCTTGCTAAGGGTTTCATTTAGTCACGAAAGAGTTCTAGGTGTAACATAGGTGCCCAGATGGCCAAGAAGGCCGATGGCATCCTGGCCTGGATCAGGAACAGTGTGGCCAGCAGGACCAGGGAAGTGATCCTTCCCCTTTACTCAGCGCTGGTGAGGCCACACCTGGAGTGCTGTGTCCAGTTCTGGGCCCCTCAGTTCAGGAAGGATATTGAGGTGCTGGAGCAGGTCCAGAGAAGAGCAACCAGGCTGGTGAAGGGACTTGAACATAAGTCCTATGAGGAGAGGCTGAGGGAGCTGGGGTTGTTTAACCTGGAGAAGAGAAGGCTCAGTGGAGACCTCATCACTCTCTACAACTCCCTGAAAGGAGGTTGTACCCAGGTGGGTGTTGATCTCTTCTCCCAGGCAATCAGCAGCAGGATGAGAGGGCATGGGCTTAAGTTCTGCCAGGGGAGGTTTAGGTTGGATATTAGGAAGAAATTTTTTAGAGAGTAATCAGACACTGGAATGGGCTGCCCAGGGAGGTGGTGGATTCACTGCCCCTGGAGGTTTTTAAAATGAGACTGGATGTGGCACTTAGTGCCATGGTCTAGTAACCACGGTGGTGTTGGATCAAGGGTTGGACTTGATGATCTCAGAGGTCTTTTTCAACCTGGTTGATTCTATGATTCTACGATAGCACAGAACTTAGATGTTCCCTGTATGTCAGGTTTGTTTTTGTTCCCTCTCTTGTCCTCCAAATGTGCAACCTAGAAATTGCATGGCTTTTTTCCTTTCTTCTGAGAAGTTACTGAGCAGCTGGAATCAACTTGCATGAAAATGCCTTTTTTTTTGTTCTGTTTTGTTTTGTTTGCATCTTCCCATGTTGCAGGGTGTCCCCCTCCCTCTGCCATTGGTGCTTAAATGCCATTGTGGTTTTGCCAGATTCCTCCTGTGGCAATTTTTCCAGCGCAATGCATAAACCTGCACTTTAAAATGAGGCCTTGCTTCACCTGTGGCACATGATTTCTCTTCTTTGCTTACAATGATGGTAAATGCTTTTAAATACCAGGCCAATACCACCTAGGTGCAGGTGACAGAAGCAAGTCAGTGTGGCCTTGTGTGCTCAGTTGGTTTGCCCTGGTAACAGACGTGTGGTAGGCACATGTGGAATGAGTGCAGCTCCAGCATGCATTTCATAATTTTTCCTTTTCCCATTTTTCCTCCTGCCCACTGCAGGAACTGCTGTGTGTGTGGAAAGCAGGTGGTATTTACTGGCAGGGAGGACAAATCCCACTGGTGGATGGGGAGAAAGAAAAGTGCAGGACACACAATGAAAGATATGGAAACTTTTCTGTGGCAGCTCCTCATTGCAGCTGCAATCCATGGGCTTCACCTGCATTGATGTCAGTGTAACAGAGTTTCCCCACGCCCGAGATCTTGTTGCCAGAAGAAAATAATTTAAAGAAATACACCAGGCAACCAGGAAGATTTTAAATATCCCCAATTCATACACTAATTTTTGATGAATTCCCATATTGGAATGTCCTGCACATAAGCTTGTTCTCAGGGATCAGTTTACATGTCTTGCATAATTGAGTACTAAAAATCCCAGAAAATTAAATCAAAACTTCATTGGGAAATACCCTGTAACCTTTTTGAAGCTTATCTACTATATATATGCACACATTTATTTGTGTTTCTGACCAATGTCTTCCCAACAAATGTAAAAATATTGCCCAAAACAGATTTTTTTTTTTTAATTACCTGTATTAATTCCTGCATAACTTCAATTCATTCCCATTGCCTGTGCAGTAGGAATGGAGCAACAGGCTGGAATGCCAAGATAAGAGCAGCCTTTTCCCAAAAATAAGGGATCCAAAAAGTGGTAGCTGTAAATGGAACTTGCAGAATTATCTTGAATGGTACCATGCAGAATCATGTCCTACTGATGCCTGGAGACCTTTGTCTGAATGACATCTAAATTTAGAGTCATCTTAGCCATGACTTGGAGCCTTCAAGGTCTTAATTCTGGTCTCAAACTCAAACTGGGATGTACTGACAGAAAGTGTTCTCCTTATCCCCTAACCAGCATGCTTTTAATAGCAGGAGCTGTCCTTGAATGAAAATTAAATCTTAGAAGCAATTTAAGTTTAAAACAAGTTCTAGAACATTTCCAAGTCCAGCTCACAAGCAATTCTAGGCACCCTTAATGTTCAAGACTTAGCTTTCCCCTGTTCTTGGATTTGGTGTTCCTCAAGGCTTGTTTTTAAACAGTGAGTGTTAGTTTTCACATGTTTAAATATCCTTTCCGAGTAAGTTGCTTCCTGGCATATAGTTAGCAAAGGTCTGTTTACAGTGCGGATCTGTTTACAGTGCCTTTTAAGTTGCAGGTCCTCCAGAAAGTTTAAGTACTTACATGTTAGAGGTTGAAACTACTTGAAACAAACTGTATTATGTTACTATCACCCTGCTTATGCTAGAAAAGTAATCCCTCTGTTGAGGATGAGAGCTGTGATTCAAGGATTAGATATCTGAATTTGATAAGAATCCTATTTTTGTTCATAAAACCAGGAATGGGTTGCAGATGAGCACTCTGCTCCAGAGTGAAAGGTAACCTCTTGCAGTTAAGTGTTATTTAATACTTTATCTCCACAGCACTGCCAAGTTCTGGAATGTATGGCAAGCACTCACACTCCTCGCATTTGCACTTTTATTCTTTACATGACCAATGCTTGAATGCAAGACCAGGCAAAGTTTTATGCCTTGATGGTTTATTTTTTTAGCTACTTTGCATACAAGTGCATTGCCATCTGTGGATGTTCCATTATATATTTAATAGTTTTTATTCTGCTTGGTGTGGGGTTTACATTGTACTGTATAATGTGAGATTTAATAGGCTGACTTGTGTCTTGACTGCAAATAAATTCCTATCTGGAGAAGGCACTCAGGTTCCTTGATGTAAATAAAGTTTTGGTCTATTTTTCAAAGCTACTCTGGACTCTAAATTTAAAACTTAGTCCTGTTCTGACTAATGGAAAACTGGAAATATTTATCTTCTGGTTTGGGGAAGGCCTCTAAGAATTGCTACTGAGGTTTTAAATCCTAAAGTTTAAGCTGGATTCTTAACTCTTATTTGAGCAGTCTTGTTTATATTACTGGGTGTGCCAGACAAGGGAAACAAAGGTGTCTGCAACTGAGGGTAAATATTAAAAAAAAAACCCTATATAATTTTTTACCATATTGTTTTATTCAACTTTAATATGGTTTCCATTATTAACTTCTAAAACAAAATGATTTCCAGTTTAGAAAACAATGCACTGACCACATAATTCCTTTTCCATTTTATACAGTTATACAAATATTCTAAATACACATTTTATCAAGATGGTGGCAAATAAGATTTAACTGTACAGTACGTAAGGAAAGAAAATATTTTAAGCATATTTAGAAGCAATAGAAATGTCTATACAAAACAAGCAAAAATGGAATAAAATTTTATATTTAAAGTATTGCAACAGTCCCACAGGTTTGTAACAAAAATGTCTTTGCACAGTTCCTCACAATGCCCCATTAATAGCTAAAGCAAGACAGCAATTTTTAGAAAATGATGTTTCAAAATGCTACACATGATACTACTGCTTGCACAGTTTGATCAAATAATAATCTACTTGGAATCAAGCAAAACTTAGGAGGAAATATACCAACCAACTTTAAAATTATCTGTATAAAAGTCATTGCACATTATTTTACTCAGTTGTTTGAAAAGTAAAAAAGTGTATTTACAAAATATTTCGCAGACAAAATTATAAAGTGAATGGATAATATATAAGTAACACGTCTTGATACTGACAGTTCAAGAACACACACAAATGGTTTTATCGTTTCAAGAGGTTTTCAGTGCTCCTTCCTCCAGGAAGTAAACTTGACTTCTACTTGGAAATGGATTTACAAGATGTTACACAGAGCTATTCCAACATCAGCATTATAAAACAGTATGTTAGAAACATGAAAGGAAGAAGAAATTTGTACATCTTAAAAAGTGAGCTATTCATAGATCAACAAATGGGTTGGTTTTTTTTTTTTTTTTAAATTTAATTATGGTAAGTGTTCATTATTCTTCAGATAATAAACCCAACAGGTAAAATGGAAATCCTGGACTAGATGAGAATTGAAAAAGCACCATGCACAATAGTCTTAGTGTGGTAAACACTGAAGAAAAAAACATAGCACCTGGAAGCCTGTAACACAGATCATTTAAAACTGGTCAAGTAGCTGGCGAAGATACGGTGCCTTTGACAGTTCTCTGCTTACTCTGGAGAGCTTGAAGAGTATTGGGCAGTTGAGGGAGACGCACGGGATCTGTCGATCAAAGCAGCCTGTGCAGTTCTTGCATATCTACATTACATGTAAAAAAAGCAAACCAGATTATTTTAAATGACACAAGCAAGGCATAAACCACTTGGGACTACTAAGTCAAGACTATCAGCAGGACAGGCACAGCCTGGGTGCACTGAACTTTTGCCCAACGCAGGGGGACCCAGAGGAGCTCCCTTCTCTGCTGCAGCCCCTCCCGTTGCTGCCAGACGGCTCATTTGGCTGTGGGGGGGGTGGCTCGCAGGCATCACCCACTCTAAACTGGGCAGAGAACAACAGAAGGACTGTACAGCTCGGGTTCAAATCTTGCTAATTAAATTCTACTTGTACATGGTGGTACTTGAAAAAACAAGGTAAATATGTTACGTGGATTTAAGCGTGACAGAGTGTTCTATTCATGATAAACTTACGCTGTATAAAAGTTTCCTAGTGAAAAAAAGACAAAACTCTTACTCTGCAGTTATCCTCTGCAGAGAAAAGGGACTTTAAATAAATTACTCTTGTTTCAAAATAAGCTTCAATTAGTTTTATCTATCAATCAGAGTCAATCTCTCCCAAGACAGGAATACACAGGCCACATAAGTTGTACTGCTCTCCTTGTTCAAGGAATTCCTTGTTAATGCTCCTTGAAAGTACTTTTAACATGAGATAACAGACTGAATAAAATAGTAGCAGGCACAGTTTTTCCAATAGTAGCTACCTTCAGAAAACTAAAGGCCCCTGCTTTGCTATTTTATTTTTATCTTTTGCAGCATTTGTCACCTCCAGTGGTTTTTCCAAAACTTCAGAAGGTTCTTTCCAACCACGCCTGTGTTTTGTAACATTAAAATGTTACACAGTTATCCTACCAGTTGCATAGCTTGAACAACAAACCAAAATTATATCACTTTGCTTTTAAAACTAGTTCTTTTTCTTCTTTCCATGTTAAAATTATTTGGGATACCAGCACCCTCTCAAGCCAGACCTGCATCAGCACCAAATTCTTGCAGACCAGAAACTCAGACTGACCAAAGCCAGAGAGGAGCAGCCCCTCTTGGCCAAGTCCCACATGCTCAGAGGGTACCAGTCCTCTGGCCTGCAACCATGGCCAAAAGGAACAGGATTTAAACAGCTTGTTCCAGGTTTGTAATCTCAGCAATATGTCTGCCCTAGTTCTTTTGAAAGAGGCTGTGGCTGGTTCAAATGCAAGGGACCAAACTAAACGGTACTTGAGACACGTTCTAAATTCAGTTTGCATTGAGGGGAGAAGTCTATGGTCTTAATCTACAGCACATAATTTTTTAAGCAATTTTCTGCTGGCTCCAGCATGTTAATCATTACAGAGGGCCAAAAACTTAAACTGTGAAGGATATATATGCCTTCATATTAAAATAAGAAAGATGTTCTTACAGAGACATCAAACACTGACTGGATCAGGATCCTAGGCCTTGCTGAGCTGTTGCAGGGACAAGAGAATGTTCTAATCAAACCCACTGATCTTTCTGTGGAGCTGGACCTATCTGCCAAGTTCTAATTTATTCCAGAACAAGAGCAATGTAGAAGATTCAGAGTAACACAGGAAAACAGCAGAACATGCATCTCCTTACTTATTGCCATTTACAGTGCAGATAAGGGCAAATATTATAAAATACAGCAAGAAGTCCACACCTTAATAATGCAATATAGTGAATAGTGAATTACAGTGGGTTTATAACAATCCCATGAGAACCTACTAAATCAATGCTTAGACTACAGGAATGGTTATGTCCCTGAAATGCAGACAAGTCTTTAAAATTGTTCATGGGCTACTGCTAAAATTAAACTTTAACCAATATATTTATTAATTATAAAATACAACAGTATGAAAATTAGGTGAGGGTATGCATGTTTTCACTGTGCTTTGCTATCATATATTCACGAGCACAGTCAGCTACCTCTTAATTGACTTCTAGCTCAAGAGAAAAAACAGCTTGGAAAATTCCTATGGAGAGGAAAGGTAACAAGAAAACCTCCAAGCTAAAACACATCCATGTTATAAATAAATAAATTTTCTGGCACAAACGTTTTTGTTACTAGAGCATCATCCATTATTTTAATGCAAAAAAGGTGAATCTTCCATACTGTTACAGCTCTCCACCACTGTCATTATAAAAAGGCACCTACAAACGATACAAGATGATCTTAAAGAAGAAAATGAGAAAAACATCTTCTGTTCTGAAGATGTTGAAGATGTCTCTTTGCCTTCAGTTTTACACAAAGTTAAGGAGCGTAACAGCTGCTATGCTGCCTGTGACAGCAATGGGAAAAGCAAACAAGCTGCAGTGCGTTTAACACCCGGACTGTACTTCCTATTTCTGTTGTGAGTATTCGGTAACACCCTGCTTTGAAATTTCAGCCCTGTCTTTTGTTGACAGACATATGACAATGCTTTAATCGTACCTTGACCAGCTGTTCTTGCTTACGCTCCAACTCTCGGATTTCTTGGTTGAGAATCACTGCCACATGCTGTGGCTGACTTCTGCATTTATTACAGATCCCATACTGGGTCAGTTCATCACACACAGGACAGTGTAAGGTTGTGAAATATTGGGAGATGGTGCCTTTGCGTCCTTCTAGCTCAGTGCGGGCAGCTGAGGCAGCCTTCTGAATCTGTTAAGAAAAATATTTTAAGAGGTAATGAACTTTCAAGAGAGCAGCTTGCCTTACTTCTAGATTACGTAGTTGTTTTTTGTTTTCTTTTTTAAGGAATAAGAAGGTTCAAGACAGCCTGTAGAACATGGGTTCATACACAAATTATGAATGTGGATTACATCATGCTGAAGAGTGCAACATTGTGCACCATCGGCCCTGAAGTGAATAGAGCCCACGCCTACATTTATTTCACAGGGAACCTCACCAGAGAAGAGATAGAGTAACCAAAGAAATCCTTGGTCACATGCTAAACTCCACCTCCTGCAGTTGTTCCTTTTTTAGCTGCTGATCTGACTGACATCCAAACATGCCCTGTCTGCAGCCCCAGTGACTGCCTTCTAGATTCTGCCTGCCTTAGAGTTTCTGTGCTGGTGCAGTTCTAGTCACAGAGCTGCCATGGTTCTTTGGTCCACGGCACTAGTTCATGCTCTGATTTCCTTGGACAAGGCTCCACCACTGCCCTGTCACCCAGGGAAGTTTGTTCTCTGCACTTGCTCCTGCTGCTGCATGACTTAAGCTTTGTGCTACCCTTCTCTCTCCTGCTACTCTGCTCCCTGTGACTTCCTTGGTGCTCCCTGGCCTTGTGGAAAGCCAGGGCTCTTTTTACCTTTTCAGAGCAGCTTATTGGAGATACTTAAGGCGACTGTCACAATGCCATTGGAAAAGTAGAGAAAAGAAGAATTGAAGTCAGTCAAGGCTATATTAAAAGTCTGCATTGGGAAACATGAGGTACTACTATGCTGCTGAAGTCCACACTGAGCAGAGTAACACATATACACTGTCTTTTGCTATCCTTTTTTGTCAGGGGTATCACAAACTAAAATCCAGCTATCTAACACTTCTCTTCCTGCATCCCAATGACTTTTTTAACTTTTAGGAAGGTCAGGTTTGGATATAACTATTTTAAAATTTCTAGTGATACAAATTTTTGAAGTTTTCCTGCTGCT